AAGCTATAGTTGCCTACATTTACGCCTAAGTCAAAGTAAGATTATATATAAAATTATAAATTCATAATAAAAGTAACCATCATTTATTTGTTGAGTCTTCCCTGTGCTAAGCATTTTATATAGTCTTTTAGTCCTCAACAAGACTATGATATGTTCTATTATCTTTATTACAAAATAAAAACAAGACCACTCAATGAAAGGTTAAATAATCTCACCTTCATTAGTGGCATAATGAGTGGAAGAGTTGGGATTCAAAGCCAGAACTGACTTCGAACCCTTAAATACGTAGTGCTTTCAACCGATTACCTTCTCTTTAACAATATAACACTGCCTTTAGATCAAGAATTTCAAACTGAAAGGCCAGTAGGGTCTAAGAAGGTAGTACCATTGACCCTTGAACAACATGGGTTTGAACTGCAAAATGCACTTATATGTGGATTTTTTTTTATAGTACAGTATCAAAAATGTATTTCTTTTATTTCTAAACGTTTTCTTTTCTCTAGCTTACTTTATTATTATAATACATCTAACATACAAAATATGTGTTAATAGACTGTATGTTATCCGCAAGGCTTCCAGTCAAGAGTAGGCTATTAGTAGTTAAGTTTGGGCAAGTCAAAAGTTATATGCAGATTTTCAACTGCCTGCAGGGTGTAGGGGGTGTCAGTACCCCTAACCTCAGTGTTGTTTAAAGGTCAACTGTATAAATAAGTGAATAAATAAATAGATTAAGGACAACAGAGCAGTGAGGCCTATGGGCAACCTACAGAAAACATCCCATCTAAAGGCAGTCATTGTTTGGATCAGTGTGACTCTTACTAGACTATAGACCCAGTACCCAGTCATGCCAGACAGCTTTTCAAAAGAAGCTGAAATTCCAGATTGTTTTTGTGACATACTTTTATTTTTAAATCTTAGTGCATAAAATAAAATTTAAATGACAGTGAATGCCTAATAAAACATTTGGGACCACATTTAGATTGGCATAATGAATGATCCCAGGAGTATGCTAAGAGAGGCATATGATGTCAGTGCACTAGCATTTATAAACAGACAGGCTGCATCTAACTCTGAGAAGGGAAGAAAATTTCCCATAGGCACCCTTAAAATCTACACAATAACCATTACAATAAGAACTCAAAAATATGTGCTGAAGGAAAAGGAAAGGAGAGTGTTTATTACTAAAGTCTTAATCAACTGTCTCTTCTGCTAACTTAGATTCTAGACACAATTCTAGAGCATTATTGCTACTAGAGCACTCCCATAACACCCCAAGCAAAGATGAACAAGTTAATTAACAACCAAATGAGAATGAAGGAAACTTTATAAAACAGAGGAGCTGGAAAGTTACTAATAAATGTGTTCCTGCTTAAGAATATAACTTTATATAGGGGGCGCCTGGGTGGCTCAGTTGGTTAAGCGACTGCTTTCGGCTCAGGTCATGATCCTGGAGTCCCAGGATTGAGTCCCGCATCAGGCTCCCTGCTCAGCAGGGAGTCTGCTTCTCCCTCTGACCCTCTTCCCTCTCGTGCTCTCTATCTCTCATTCTCTCTCTCAAATAAATAAATAAAATCTTTAAAAAAAACAAGTACAGTTTCTTTTAAAAAAAAAGAATATAACTTTATATAAATAGACTGAGATTCTGGATTTTACTAAACAGTGAAAGTTGACAGTGATTATACCTCTAATGTAGATACTGAATATCCATCCAACTGTACTTACTATTAGGAAAATGGCTCCCCAAAAAAAGGCTTATTATTAAAAACTACAATTCTGTTGGAGTCAACTCAAAGAACAGTCTTAAAGGAAAGCTTTTGATCTGCACAATTTCAGAGTGTAAAATGTTTCCTCAAAAATGAAGACAGCAAGGTAACTGAGAGTCAATGATATTCAGTAAGAACTAAGAAAAGAATAAACAGGGGCTAGATTATGTGATATGTGACCTTCCTACCTGAACATTAATAAGCTAGATCGGGAGGCTAAAATGAAGTAGTTCTCAATTCAATTATCAAATCCTCACAAATAACAAGAGTGAACTGTGATCTATCTTTTTATTCCTTCTCCAGTGGAACCACAGGTAAGCTCTTTGCCAACAAAGAAAAGTCTTCATCATCTCCTCTTCTTTTCTATATAATGAAAAGCACTGTCAAGTGGCACTTTATTCGTCTAAGATGGCTCCTTTCACAAAAGGGATCCATGCAAATACATTCTGGTGTTCCCTAAACGGTTTCTAGTCCCAACCCATAACTACCAAGACAGTTTCACTTAAACTAATTCTACACAATTCTAGTTCTTTCCAGTGTTCTCAAAAGGAGGGAGAAAAGGGGCAAACAAGCCTGGGAAAAAGCGCATACTCTTGTCTTCCAATTTAGATATTCATATATTAAAAATGATGAAATTCCTATACCACAAAATCTGTTTAATCTAGTGTTTCTTAAACATTACACAACCCAACTAACACATTTTGGGGAAAGTCTATCAACTCGGAAAAGCCCTTTAGCAACTCCAACATCCATGTCTTATGCCATTGTATTTCTTGGCCTAAGTCAAAAGGTAACCAGACTTAACAATACAAACTCGTAACTTTAAAGACACCTGGGATTCTATTCATATACTAAATTTCTATAAATTATCTTCATAAACAAATATTACCTAATACCCTACCAGAGCTTTAATTTTTTATAAATTCCAATAACTTAAGAATCTTATGAAATACTGTCAAAACACATACTCCTTTCCCTCTAAAAAATGAAGACAAAAAATCAATTACATAAAAATTTTCTAGCCATCTGCACAACTTGATTAACTTAATCTTATATCTAACCAGAGTCCTGTTAGATATAAGACTAAGACTCTGGTGTCTTGAACTTAAAAGATATACAGACCAATCCTAATACAGATTGGTACTAATTTTAGTAACTATGTAGATCAACTAAACATGTCAAAACCCTGAAAAACAGTGGCACCTAAAATGAGCTCATATGTAAACTAGAAAGGAAGTCACATCTGGGCAACAAAGCTTTTAACATTCATTTAACTGCTTTTGTGTGTCTGAGTGGATAGCACAAGAGAAATCTTCACTGGTGAATAAGACAAAGTTGGTGAAACTCACAAGCTCTTCCAAAAGAAAAGAGACAAGGAAAAAACATTACACTGGAAGCATAAGCTTGAGATTCAAGTAAAAAAAACAATTATCAGAGCAACTTCAAAGCTTTCAAGTTCAAACCTCTGCATGTATTCTCTAACAACTGCTAAAATGAATCAGGTCACAAACAGTACAGGGATTCAAACGGGGTATTAAAATATAGAAAGTACCAACAATTTGAGCATTCCCACACAATGTCTTTATGTGATTATTTCCGTAAAAACATACACCATAAATTTGTTTAAATTTGTCTCTCTTGTAAGTATATTTAGAAGCAAAGTCTAATGAGGAATCAGAGTCCTATCACTCTGTTTAATTAAGAAGCTGTCCTTGGATTTTAAAAAAACTGTTCCGTAAAAAGCATCACTATAAAAACTATCACTAATTTTACTATTTGCACAGAAGCTCAGTAATGAAACCAATTTCATGGCATTTCAGATGAGACAAAAGTTAAAACAATAACCACAACCACAAAAAACTCCCTCTGATGGTTACCTAAGGATAGCAACTACAGTTCCAGGATAATTCACTTAGGGAATGGCCAGTGGGCAAGTTCTATTCTCAAGAAAATGTCAATAAATGAATCTTTTAAAAATTTAATCCTACAGTCATTAGCTACATTTGGAAGTCAGGAAGAACTAGGAAGATCTCATAAGATGAGCGTTATCTAATCTTTTACCAGCTTCCCCTCATTCACTACGCTGTGCATACCGGCCTTCACACGATTACTCTACTGGGCCTCAATCTTGACCCTTGAATGTCTTCCACAGAATGCTTTTCTGTAAGGTCTGTGCTCAATAGTCACCTGCTGAGAGGCCTCTCTGATGACTCTCTCTACAGAAGCCTTGTCTATCTTATTTATAGCTAGAGTCCCAGCAACTAGAACAGGGTCTGACACAAGTGCTCAATAAGCACTTGTTAAATGAATTAATGAGCTCATATACAATTTCAATCATACAAAAACAAATCTGATGACAACTTAAAAACAAGTGTATTAGCAAAATATCTAATACTCAATTCCAATTTGAAGTCCAGGAAAAAAAAAAGGTCAACTTTTAGTATCAGATTCTCCACATTTATTTGCTATCTGCTCTGGAAAAGCATAACAAGATATATCTTAATTCTGAAAAATCACAGCAAATATATATGATGATTCCATGTCATATTGAGTCCTCAAAGATCTGATGATTCATAAACAAAGACAAAGTAAGTTTGGTATTAGCTTTAAAATATATAGGTACTCTAATACATACACATAGTATTTTAAAGTACAATAATAATCTGTAATATACTCAAAATAAGGTTAACAGAATTCCTGCTCTACATTACCAAGTCCTATCACTGACTAAATAAAAATTAAGTGTTAAATATGGCCTAATTAGAACATCCAGAAATTTATATGAAAGAAAGTCTGCCAAAAGTGAGCCAAATAACTGTGGACATCCAAGTACTTGGTTCTGGCAAGTATGCACTTTGTAAATATTACATCAACCATTACAATCTGTTTTTTTTAAAGAGCATAAGGCATTACATTTTAAAGAACATAAGATAGTACGGAAAATAATTCTCCCAAATTGGACCCTGTAACTCTCACTGGCATTATACTCTAACCAGGTAGCATCCATCCTACTTGTAAGTTAATCAAAACAGCTCTTATTTAAACACTCAACTCAGTTAAACCAAAAAAAGGATATCCACAAATCAAATAAATCAATGTACAGATCTATCGGCACAATTAGTCATTAAAGATAAACGTTTGAAATAGAAAATAATGGAGAACAAAGATTTTCTTCAACATCTGCTACACACATTAAATGCCTGGAACAAAAGAACCTCTGCAGCCAAAGTGACTTACCGTTACAGATTTCAGCGTCATACCATGGTAGGTGCCCATAGTGTCGATTTTGAAGCCTTCCGTTTCTATAAAGAAAGGGGGTTTGCTATTAGATTTTATGTATTTCATGATCAATAACAAACCTAAAGTAATAATCTGTGTTATAATCTGGCAGTTAATAGTATAACAAAGCAGCAAATGTACTATACATAGAGAATTAAATTACATACCTATGAAAATAAAAACTTTAAAAGGGATACTAGTCCCAAAAATACATTCAATACATGCCAGAGAGGCCTTTTTATAGAAGTTGCTTAAGACTAATTTCTACAATTGTGTTCAAAAGTTTTGATATTTTGGGAATATCAAAAATTAGAATGAATAAAATACTTTATAACCTCCAAATTATTTACTTCTAATACTCAATTACATTAGCACGAAAAGCTTCTAGTTATCATGAGAAGGCTTTAAATTATAAAAAGTTGTGTTTCAAAATTACAATCATAGGCATATGTTACATAATTTGTAGAAAAGCAATGCTATAAATAGTGATAAAGGTTCCAGGACAGAGTCTCAATACGCCTTTCTGTAAAGGCATATTACATTAATACAAATACATTAAATATTTTACACATTGCAAGCTATATGTCTCTATCACAACTACTCATTCTGCAGGTACAGTGAAAAAGCAAGATAAACAAAATATATAAACAAATGGGCATGGCCTGATTTGGCCCACAGAGGATCGGATTTGGTCCGTGAGCTGTAATCTGCCAAACCCTACCTTACATAATTCATTCCACAAGAAAAACACTGCAATGAATAAAAGAATGAACCACTGTATTTCTACAGCATGTATTCACAGTACATGCCTTTAACCAGTATATGAAGTCAGCACACAAAATTCACTATACAGAAACAATATATCTTTTAATTAAACTGAAGTGGAGATTTCAGATTATGCAGAAAAAAAATCATAAAAGTTAAACTTTCAAGTGCTTCTGCCTCATCTTTTTCCACAAGTCAAGATAAATGAAGATTCCAAGAGAAATTACAATGACATTAGTGCACTTCACTAACCACCACAGTAACATGGAAATGGTTCACTACTGCATTAGCCAGTATACCATGTAAGCTATCCCCAAATAAGCCCTCACGTAGTTACTAAAATCTATGCTTCCCAAATTCTCAATGTATACCTTTATAATTTCAGAAACATGATTTGATATAGAAACTCTCCAGTCTGAACTTTTGAGAAGAATATTAATAGCAGGAAATACTTATAGATAGCTTATTATATTCCAGTCACTATTCTAGACACATTATTAACTAGTTTCATCCCCACAATGAAACTAAAAATAGATACTACTACTATAATTAGTATTGCAATGAAACACAAGAGGAAATTAAAACAGAATGCAGTTAATTTATCAAAATTCACGCAAAAAGTAACTGTGATACAGGAAATCTGGATCCAGAATCCATGCCGTTAACCAGGGGTTGGCAATTTTATTTTATTTTTTTTTTTTTTGAGAGAGAAAGAGAGCGCAACCCATCATTGGGGGATAAGAGGGGAGAGGGAGAGACAGAATCCCAAGCAGGGGGGTCCACACCCATTGCAGAGCCCAACGCGGGGCTCAATCTCACGATCATGCCCTGAGCTGAAATCAAGAGTCAGATACTTAACTGACTGAGCCACCCAGGAGCCCCAGGGGTTGGCAAATTTATTTTGGAAAAGACCAGATAGTATTTTAAGGCTCTGCAGGCCACACAATCTCTGTCACAACTCAACACTACTGTCACAGCACCAAGGAACCACAGATAATACATAAATGAATGCCACTGTGTTCTAGCAAAAGTTTATTTATAACATGTGTTGGGCCAGACTTGGCCTGCAGATGTTTGCCAACACCTGCTCATAAACATCACACACATCTCACATTCAGCACCACCACAGCAAGGGGAATATAAAAATTAAGTAACCTGCCTTCTTTTCCTTTGAATCTTTCCTGGTCATATCTGTTGTAGGCAGCTGGGATAGGCTGTTTGGTACGCAATGTGGGATCCTGCAGAAAAATAAATGAGTTACATATTAACATTTTAAATTGTTACCTAAAACTCAGAATAAAAATCACAGTAAGTGTATTATTTTCTAAACTTTTTTTCTTACAATAGCCAATAAGACAAAAGTGGGGAGTCATGTGATGCTTATTTTCAAGATATTGTTTACTGGTAGAAAATTACCATTGCTATCAGGGACAAGGCAAAGGACTCCAAATAAACTTGTATCAAGGCAAAATGCAAAACTCTTACAAACTGGAGAAATAAAATAGGTGTGCTTAATAACTTCATTTTAGGTACTTAAATTTCTTCACGAAATAATAAACCTGCCAATTATGAATTGTTTTTAACAAAAAACCTTAATTCAAAGCTTACTGAACTGACATTTTAGAGCATTTAACAGAATTATTCTCCAAATTGTTATTAATACTTAAATGACAACTATGAAATAAACCCATTATAAATGCACAAGAAGCTAATAAAGGTGTTACTTGTTAAGACACTTAGAATAAGCTGTCTATCTAATGTTGTAAACTTCATTCACAAATACTTTATCTAAAATTCAGTTTGGGGCACCTGGGTGGCTCAGTTGGTTAAGCATCTGCCTTCGGCTCAGATCATGATCCCAGGGTCCTGGGATCGAGCCCCACGTTGGGCTCCCTGATTCTCCCTCTCCCACTCCCCCCTGGCTTGTGCTCTCTCTGTCAAATAAATAAAATCTTAAAAAAAATTCTTAAAAAAGTAAAATTCAGTCTATAATAATCTAAAAAAGCATATTTAAAGAACATTCCCAAAACTGCTTGGGAAATTCATGGTATTCAGAAAAACTAAAGTACTCTTCATTTTGTTACAACAGGATGCTACCCTACATCTTAATCCAGACAAAAGATAGAAAGATAGTTAATTTAAGACACTCAATAGGTATACACTATAGCTAAAGGCCAAAATTAAGATTTTTATGTATCTTAAGGATTACAGAAATACAGGAAAAACTCAATCACAAGGATAATGGTTTAAATGTTTTAAGATCTGACATGTTTCCTACCAATTGCTATTCAAATCAATCAATTCATAATTATAAGCACCCTGTGTTTTACCATCACAACATTTGTCTCACTACTTTTTTTTACTCATCTCTATGTCCTACTAGACTTTAAGCTCAAAGAGGGCAGGTATCTCTTATATTTTTGTCAGCACACTGCCTGACAAGAGTAGGCACTTAAGTATTTGCTGGAAAGTCAACTCAAAGTATTAACCTAAATACCAATAAAAGTCTACTACCTCTTAAGAATTAAATACCAATGATTTTATGAACAAGCAAAACTACTAGATCTTGCAAAGACTGTGTTGGTGCACTTTCAAATTTTAATATACTTTAAAAAAAACCCTATATAACATAAAAACAATTTTACCTACATTTATTTCCTTTGTTGATTTATATGAAACTAGCTGGAAGGATTTTCAACCTAACTGGAGGACATGTTTGAGTTTAAATTTAAATACAGGCTATATGCCATACATGAAATTTACTTTGGAGGGGTCCTAAATGGCAACTCAATGAGTGAGGCAGTCAACTCTCCAAATGGCTAAAACTAAGGTACCATGAAAGAACCAAATGATCTGGGATCAGGAGAAACACAACATATCCACCAGGAAGTCACAGATACCAATGATTTCAGAAAAAGCCCCAAAACAGACTGTAATAGGGATTTTTATCTCTAACAATGGTAAGGATTCTCCCAAGCAACAATGAATAGGTCTGTTACTTACTTTACACAACTTCTCAGAGGGCTTTTCCTAATTTACCCCTTTCAGATTCTAACCCAAGTGTGTCGCTAAGAATTATTGCTTAAGTAACTTTATTTTTCTGTTTTGGTTGCTTGGGGTTTTTTAAATTGTTACTGTTGTTGTTGGTTTATTTTTTGACCCCCTTTACCTGTTTCTCACACTCCTCACCCACCCTCCACCTCTAGCAACTACCGTATCTATATCTCTGTCTATATCTCTGTGTAAAGCTTGTTTTGTTTTTAGAGTCCACATATAAGAGAGATCGCAGGTATTTGTCTTTCTCTAACTTATCTCACTTAGCATAATGCCCTCAAGGTCCATCCATGTAGTCAAAAAGTCAAAATTACATTATATTTTATGGCTGAATAATATTCAATTGTGTGTATATAACACAATTTCTTTATCTGTTCATCCATCAATGGGACACTTGTTTCCATATCGTGGCTATTGTAAATAATGCTGTAATGAACATGAAGATGCATATATCTTTTCAAGTTAGTGTTTTCATTTTCTTCAAATAAATACCCAGAAGTAGAATTGCTGGTTCATACAGCAGTTCTATTTTTTAATTTTTTTGAGGAACTTCCATGATGTTTTCCCTAGTGGCTACACCAATTTACATTCCCACCAAGAGTGCACAAGGGTTCCTTTTGCTCCACATCTTTGAAAACACTTACTTCCTGTCTTTTTGATAACAGCCAGTCTAACTTGTGTGAGGTGAGATCTCACCGTGTAAGTGTTAACGGTGGGGAAGATTTTCACATATTTCAAGAATACTGAAGCAGCAAAAAGTTTAAAAGCTACTGATTTAAAAACTTTAAGATGAGATGTTTTCAAAATTACAATACTGACAAGAGTCATTTTCATTAAAATTAATATATAAGCAGTAACACATTCTTACCACAGGTGCTGCATTTGGGGCTGGTCGCTGTTCAGGTGCACGCCCTTCTTCTCTAGCTTTTACAGACTGAAGAATTGCAAAAATATTTTTGGAAAAATTCTAAAATATAAATGGATCTTAATTAGCCCACTTAAAATTAAGTATTCAAGGCAGTAAGTTTGTTTAATAAACAATTTCAGACTGTTTTTTTCCTATTAGTTATTCCCTACTACATCACTGAGGTGTTCTTTACTATACACACACAAAAAATCGAAGTACTAAAAATTGATCCCCAAACCAAATTATTATAAACACACTGTTATTCATTTATTTTTATTTTACTTAAACTGTTTAATTGGCTATAAATATATTCATATTCTGCATCTATTCAAATATGTAGCTAGGAAACAAGTTACTGAATAAAAATGAGATTTGTTGTCACAAGAGGCTTCCCCATTCTTAAAGAAATCAATTACTATACTTCTAAGTATAATATATATAACACATATATATACATATATTATATATATATAATAAACTCCAGTGCTAATCTCAGATTGCTGTAATTTATATGAGATGTGGAAAATTTTAAAATACTGTTTGTTAGGAGCTACTGTACACTTTTAAAAGATTTTTAAATTGGGAAGTATTTTTAAAAACTTGATTGATGCCAAGATGCCAGGAGTTAACAAACCACTGCTTCTGCACAGCAGTACAAAAGTCAACACAGTAACAAATGCAAACAAAGTCTTAATCCTACTATGAAAATCACTGAAAATATATGAAAATCAAATTTCATACTTTAAAAATAATATAGAGCAAGAGACACTAAATCTAGAAGAATCCATGTTATCAGAGATTTTTGTGTGGAAGAATTAAAGGTGATTATTATCTTCCTTTTAATGATCTCTTTTAATCAACTTTTCAACAAGGAACAACTTATTTAAGTTTAAAAGTATATCCTTAATGGCATTATAAAATCAGGTTGCTTTATGTGGGTTGCCTGCAATAATAATATAACTGTAAAGAAACATACTTATTTTTCTCATGAACCTTTTATTCTAGAAATTTAGAAAGTAAGAAGGCCCTAATCCCTGGTAATAATGAAGATCTATCTAAAATCATAGGTTCTATTAGGACTGAGTACCTAAAAGGTTTTTATTTAGTGTTCAGAAAATGAAAACCATATACAGAAAAACTATCACTCAAAACAGTTGTTTCTGCTTTTTTAAAAATGTTAATGATCACAGAAGTAAACCTAGCTACCAAACAATTCTTAAACTGTAATTTATTTCTTAAATTACCCTGTGATGGCAACAACACTAACTTAAATGAAAGCACTAAGTTTTGAAATAATGGTAAAACCCTGCCACCTAGAGCTCAAAAAAAACTGTTCATCTCAGTTTTTTGAAAATTTAATGTTTGGTCCAAAAGTAAGATGGAGCATAGCACGTATCTTTTATACCTTTACTATAAGATTCAAATTTTTTGGCTATCATAATGAACATTGGTAGAACATTAGCAGTTGCAATATTCAACTATCAGCCATATTATGCAGTGAAAATGAGTATCAACAGATCACTGTAAATACAAAAACTGAAGTTTATTTATATTCTCAGATTTCTCTATAATTCTAAGCTCTGGGGAATGATTCCTAATCTTGTCCTCAAGTACTTTGTAAAATATAACAAAGTACAAAAGGATGAAAATTCTTTCCTTCATGTACTCTTTTCAAGTAACCCGATTCCTACTAATATGGCACAATAAATTTAAGACCAGAATCCAGAATCTGCAAATAAAACCAGTCTGCCTTGACCAAAGTTAAAGTTCACTTTCATTGGTAACCTCACATTCTTCTACACACTCTCTTACCATAACATATTAACAACTGCACATCAGTGGAGAATTAACACTTAAGAGAAAATTGGGAGGTGAGGGAAAGACAGATGAAAATATATAAATGAAACAGAACCAAAGCAATCTTTCTGGAGATGCATTAAGATACTTAAACATCCACTATCTTTCAAATTTTTATCTTTCAAAATTTAAAGTACACAACTCCTTTAACCAGAAATTTGCTTCTAGGAATTATATTTTTGTTGTATACACATAAATGCACAAAAGTACATGTACGACGATGTTTTTTTAATGCATTACTTGTAATTGTGAATAGAGAGAGAGGGAGACAGAAAGGGAGGAAATGAGGAGAAGGGAGAGAAAAAAATTCCACAATCCTATAGCTACAAAAACAAATAAGCCACCTAACACCATTAACAAAGAATAAATACTGCTACATCCACACAACAGGATATAATGTATAAAATACACAAATGAATGCTGATTTTCTTAAGTGTCTACTTTGTGGGGAAAAAAATTAATAACGATATTAATGACCACACAGCTAGCCATCACCATCCCCTCCTCATTAAGTTAAAGCAAAAATCTGATCAACAAGAAAACTGGGCTATTCGCTGGATTTACAAATGAGGTGCAAATCAAGGGGCTTGCACTGTGATTCAGACATTTACATCAGCTTCTTCGGTGACCAACCACTAAACGGTAAATACGGCCACTTAGACATCTACATTATTACTGATCTTTCAGAGACAAAACTTGAAAATTGATCCTAATAGCAAATTTTAGCCAATTCTATAACCAATCACAGATTAGACACACATACTCACTCTAATGAATGAGTGAAATACTTTACCTTTCCTGTGCTCTGTAAGATAGTTGTTCGTGTCCTCCACACTCTCTCTCTGCTGACAATATCTCGTGTCACATCTACCTCAGCATCCACAAAACTTCTCTGTTTGAGGGCAGTTATGTCATCATCTAAGTCAGTCTTGATAGTAGATCTTTTCTTAGCCATAATTTTGGCTTTGATTGCAGCAATTTTTTCCACTGACATAGCTTCAGACAAAGACCTGAAAGCAATTTCCTTTTTTTAAATTTTCATTGCAAAGATCTCTTGAGCACATCATAAATATATTTTGTTACATTTATAGGTTTTGGTAAAAAAATAACCTTAAAAGTGGCAATAATTAAGATTTTCTTCTTATCTAAAACTTACATACTTGGTATTTAATAGGTATTTAATAATCATGTAAGATCAAGAGTCCATGTAGCATTATTACTCCATGAGCAAATCAGTAACTTCTTAGAAGGGTCAATGCAACAAAAATCCCTGCACTTGTGTTTATCTCCCCCTCCAACCCCGCGGAAGGAAGAACCCATTAATATAGCTGCTTTCTTTAACATTTTCTCAGACTTTTATTTGCCAATGCCTCTCTAGCCACACAAATTGTACATACAAACACACAAAAACACACCCCACCGGGGGGGGGGTTGTGTGTGAAAAATTCATTCTGTAAAGAATTCAAAGCTTAGCTTTTCCTTGAAATTTATTTCAAGGTTTCAAACCTTCATAATGTATATAACATACCCATTTTATAGGTGACGAAGGCTTTTATATGCCATATCAACATATATTCCTCTTACTATCTGAAAGATTAAACCATATTTTGCAGTTTTTTCTTTTCTTTACCTGATTTTCAAGTAACAGGCAAAATAGCAAACAGGAGCTATACTTTGAGAACTATAAAAAAAAGACTTAACACAAAGTTTAGTGTCGTTTTTCACAAAATGAGAAAGAGTTAAAAAGGGTTTGGGTAGGGGCGCCTTTGGTTCAGGTCATGGTCCTGGAACTGAGTCCCACTTCTCTGGCTCCCTGCTCAGCAGGGAGTCTGCTTCACCCTCTCCCTCTCTCCCTGCTCATGCTCTCTCTAATAAATAAATAAAATATTTCAAAAAAAAAATTAAAAGGGTTTGGGTACCTTAACAGTTGACAAAATTATTACTCTAATCACAAGGTGACAATCTTGAAATACGTTTAAACAACATCTGGAAAAAGGACAGGAATTCCTGCAGGTTTAAATATGGTAGTATTATATAGTATACTAGTTTGTTTATATAAGGTATGAAGATACTTTATAGCAGATGCTCAGTATGCATCTAGTATTCGATTCATTTTATATAATGCTGTGCAATTTTTCCTTAAGTTCTAAAGCAAACCAGCATAACTTAAATCAGACTCAAATACTTTTCTAAATCATAATCAAATGTGAATTGGACTTTCAATCACTGGAGTTTTACTTCCAGCTAAAATGAAGTAGCAAGGACTGGATTATCCCTCCTGCTTCTAAACAACCAGTGAAAATACATAGAACAGTAGCTTACTAAATACCTGGTATCAAGCAATGAGAGACAATGATCTCTGACAAATGAAAACCAGATAGAAAGCCCTATGAATGCTGCAGTTTGAAACCATGTTGTAAGTTTTCAAAATGGCATAGGGAGGAAATCCAGGCAAAACTGAGTGGATTACCTGATTTGAGAAATGGTGCTAGAGTCCAGCAAAACCAAGGTGGCTGGAATTCATAGGCCTAAGTACCTGAGAAGAAAGAGCTGCAATGAAGATGCCCATCAAGTATTCCAGGAGAATACTGATTAGCCCAGGACTATGAGAAAACAAAAGTCAGGTATAGAAATCATCCAACACAATTAGAGGAGATAATACCCAGAGCACACAGAGGGTGAAGAACAGTTCCTGTTCCCACCAGCCAAACTGAAAACCTCACATCCATTGGGCATTAGGTAGAGTATTCAGAATGGTTTTGTGTAGGCAATGGTGGGGAATAATTATCCTAACTGAACACTGCCCAAATAACAAATCTTAAATCAAGACATAAAAGGAACAAACTGTTTCCAAGTGATTTAACTATATCCCAAAAGAAAATTTAGAAAAATACAAAAATACCTAGCACTCAATATGGTAAAATGCAAAATGTCTAGTATCCAAAGATCACAAGGCATGTAAAGAAGCAGGAAAATACAAGCCAGGATGAGGAGAAATCTAAATCAAAACCAATTATAAATTGACACAGATGCAGGATTAGCAAAGACATTAAAGTAAGTATTTTTATAACTCTATTCTATATATTCAACAAATTAAATGAGACATGGACTATATATTTAACCAACTTGCAGAGATAAAAAAAATATAATGTTGGAGACTACAAATACATCACAACTATAATTATGGAAGAAAAGATTAGTGAATGACACAACTATAGAAACTATCAAGTGAATAGAAAAAAAAGAACCCAAATATTTTAAGAAACAAGGCCAAAAATTTTCTAAATTCAATAAAAATTATGAACACAAAAATTCCCTCCAAAAGCTCAATGGACTTCAAGCACAAGAACCATGAAGAAAAGGCCAAGTTATGTGATAATTAAACAGCTCAAAACCTGTAATAGAGAAAACTTTTAAAGTACCCAGAGGGGAAAAAAAGGACACATTTCATTAAAAAATTTAAAAATTTAAGAAAATAAAGGATGACAGCAGACTTCTCATCAGCAACAATGCAATCGAGAAGGCAGTGGTGTAACATTTAAAGTACAGATGGTCCTGACTTAACAATGGTTTGACTTACAATTTTTCAACTTTACAATGGTATGAAAGTGATATGCATTCCGTAAAAACCATACTTCAAACTATGATCTTTTCTCAGGTTAGTGGTATGTGGTACGATGCTCCCTCATGATGCCAGGCAGTGGCAGAAAGCCACAACTTTCAGTCACCCATGCAATCACCAGGATAAATAACTGATACATTTAAAATCATTCTGTACTCATACAACCATTCTATTTTACACTTTCAGTAAAGCATTCAATAAATTACATGAGCTATTCAACACTTTACTATAAAATAGGCTTTGTGTTAGCCCAACTGTAGGCTAATGAAAGTGTTCTAAGCATATTTAAAGTAGCCTAAGCTAAGTTATGATGTTTGGTATATTAAATGCATTTTCGGCTTATAATATTTTCAACTTAGGATGGGTTTATCAGGATGTAATTCATCTTAAGTCAAGGAAGATCTGTACTTAAAAAGATGTAACTTAAAAGGCACCTGGGTGGCTCAGTTGGTTAAGCATCTGCCTTCAGCTCAAAACATGAACTCAAGGTCCTGGGATTGAGCCCTGAGTTGTGCTCCTTGCTCAGCAGGGACTCTGCTTCTCCAGCTCTCTCTGCCCTTCTTCCTGCTCTCTCTGCCCTTTCCCCTGATCGTGCTTGCTTCCTCTCTCTTTCTCTCAAATAAATAAAATCTAAAAAAAAAGGAATCCAGTAAAAATTCCTTAAAAAAAAAAAGGCAAAATAAAGGCTTTTCAGCAATACAAAAGTTGAAAGAATTAATCACCAGCAGGTTTGCTCAAAAAGAAATGAAGAAACGTTAAAAGAAATCTTTCAGGAAGAACGAAAAAAATTGGTAAATAGATCTGAACAAAGAAATGAACAATGGAAATGGGTATCTGTAAATACATGAGTTATTTCTTATTATTTAAAGCTCTTTAAAAGGTAACACTTTAAAAAAGAACAATGCATACTGGTGCTTACAACACATGCATAAGCATACCATTTTAAGGTTCCCATACAATACATGAAGTAGTGAATATAACACTTGCAGGGAGACTGTGATGCTATAAACCATGCATAGTAAAAGCCCTAAATCAAACACTAATAACAAAACACTTGTAAGTAATAAGCCAACAACAATAAGAAAAAAGAGAATTACAACCAATATTCGTTTATTCCAAATAAGAAGTCCCAAAACAGGACAAAGAGAAATAAAAAATAAGCAAAATGGACTAAAACTAACCATATCAATAATCACATTAAGTATAAAAGATCTACACACACAAGAAAAGTACTTAAACTATAAAGACACATAAGTTAAAAGTAAAAGGATTCCAGTTTTCAGATGAAAAGAGTTTTGGACATGGCTGCACAATATGAAAGTGCTTAGGACAATGAACTACACACTTTAAAATATTACAATGATAAATTTTATGTTATGTGTTTTTTACCATAATGTTTCTTAAAAAGTAAAAGGTAAAAAGATACACTATGCTAATATAAGCCAAAAGAAAGCTGGAGGAGTGTCTAGGTGAATATGAGAAAAAGTAAATTTTTTTAATAAGGAATATTGCCAGAGATAAAGGTCACCCCATAATGATAAAAAGATTCATTCATCAAGACAACATAACCCTAAACATTTACACCTAATAACAGGCCTTCAAAGTAGACAGAGAACAAAATCTGATAGAAATGCAAAGAAAATCAGACAAATCCACAGCCAGAGATTTCAATAATTCCATCTCAATAATTAATAATACAACATAAAAAACAAGTGAGGATATAGAAGACTCTACTGACACTATCAACCATACTGACCATAGTAAGACAGTCCAAAATAACAGCAGAATACAAATTCAAGTGCCTATAGAACAGACCTTATTTGGGGCCAAAAACTGAGTTTTAATACTTATCAAAGGATTCAAAATCATATAAAATATAACCACACTTTGGAATAGATTGGAAATCAATAACAAAGATCTCCAGAAAATCCCAAGTATTTGGAAACTAAATAACTCCCTTGCAAACAATCCAAGAGTAAAAGAAGTCAAAAGGGAAATGAAGACAGTAATTTTGAACTGAATGAAAATGAAAACACAACATACCAATATGAGATGCCATTAAAGCAGTACTTAGAGTGGAAGCTGAGGTTATTGATTTCCCTCTAAGAAACCATAAAAAAATACAGCATATTAAATCCAGAGTAAGCAGAAGTAAATCATAAAGATGAGAGCAGAAATTGAAGAATCAATAAAGAAGGAAAAAAAAACAAAACTAAAGAGGAAAATCCCAATCTGGTTCTTTGAGAAGATCAATAAAATTGGTCAATTTTGGCCAGGCAATAAGGAAACTAACAGAAAACACCAATTGCTAATATCAAAAAATGAAAGAGGGGACATTCCTACAGATTCTAGACAACTTAAAAGAACATTATGAACATTACGCAAATAAATTTGACAATGCAGATGAAATGGACAAATTCTTTCAAAGAAACACTCAAAGAAGAGAGAGAGAACCAGAATAGACCTATTAACTACTAAACAAGCTGAATATGCAGTTGAAAACTTTACCTGAAATATATGAAAATAAATAAAACTATAGTACAGACGGCTTCATCAATAGATTTTCCCAAATGCAGGAGGAAATACCAATTCTAACACAAACTTTTCCAGAAAATTGAAGAAAAGGAAATACTTTCCAACTCATTCTGAGACCAGAATTATCTTGATAGGAAACAAGACAAAGACGTTATAAGCAAACTACAGACCTCAAAAACATTGGTACAAAATTCTATATAAATTTTTAAAAATCTAATTTAATAAATAAAAAGAATAATACATCATGATTGTGGTAGGCAGCCATTAAAACAATATCCACCTCTCAGCATTCACACCCATGTGTAATCCACTTCCTGTAGGGGTAGGGGCTGAACCTTGTTTCTAACAAATAGAATGCTGTACAAGTGACAGGGCAGGGTGTCACTCTGAAGACTTGGCTATAAAAAAAATAACCTCTATCTTGCTTGACAGCTCTCTTGCACTCTTGCTTGCTCACTCTAATGAAGCAAGCTGTAATACTGTGAAATATTCCAAGAACCAAGAACCAAAGAACCAAGAGTCCTCTAGATAAAACCTGAGGAACTGAAGTATTAGTCTAACAACCTGTCAGGAACTAAATTCTGCCAGCAACCACATGAGTGAGCTCTAGAAGCAGATCCTTCTCCTATCAAGCCAGACTGGAAGAAATATCTGCAAAGCCTACGTCTGAAAAGGACATACAACAAACTTTCAAAACTCAGTAATAAGAAAACAATCCAATAAGAAAAAATGGACAAAAATCTGAACACACTTCACCAAACATGATATAAGATAGCAAATAAGGACACAAAAAGATGCTCATAATATCATTAATCATGTGGTAAGTGCAAGATAAACCATCTTCTACCTTTTAGCATGGCTAAAATTGAAAAGCCTGATCACAGTAAGTGTTGGCAAGGCTGTGAAGAACCTAGGACTCATATATTGATGGTAGAAATGTGAAATGATACAATCACTGTAAACAGTTTGATGATTTCTTCAAACTGTAGATCTATAACAGTACACAATTAAATCACTCCTCTCCAAGGTATTTACTCAGTGGGAGTGAAAACATATGTCCATAAAAAACTTGTACACAAATGACCACAGCTTTAGCTGCAATAGCCAAAAAACAGCAACAAGTGTAACGTCCATAAACAGTTGCCTAGGAAAACAAATTGTGTTACGTCCGTACAATGGAACAGAATGAACCTACTCAGCAATAAAAAAAGAATGAACTACTGATACATCCAACAATATGGATGAATCTCAAAATAATTATGCTAAGTAAGAGGTCAGACCCCCCCAAAAAAGTATGTATCAAATAATTCCATTTATACTTAACTCTAGAAAAAGCTAATTTATAGTAACAGCAGATAATTGGTTGCCTAGAGAGGGAAGGATGTGGGGATAGGTAGAAGTGTGGAATCATAAAGGTACACAAGAAATTTATGGGGGTGATATTATATTCATTATCGTGATGATGATGATGATGGTTTCACAGATGTATACATACGTGAAAGCTTATCAACTTAAATATGTGCAGCTTATTGTTATGTCAGTCATCTTGAATAAAGCTTTTAAAAATAGGCACTGAATTTTTAAGTTTGGATAGAACTTCCAAAGCATTATATTGTGCCAAGGAAAAATTATGAAGTGATTCCAATTATAGTAAAAATCAGGGATCAACAAAATATTACAAGCCAAATCCAGCCATGCCAATTCTTTTATGAATGAAGCAATCATAGACTGTTTTCCCTACCACAAGCATTAGTTACGAAAAAAAACCCCATGTGACCTTCAAAGCTGAAAGTATTTAATTATGTGTCACTACACAAAAAAAGTTTGCTGACCTCTGCTATAAATCAACAAGAGATCACAAAATAAATGAGTGGCTTGGTTATGGAGTAATTTTAAAAAAGGGAAGATCAATGTGGTAATAGAACCAAGAAGGCTTTCCGGAAAGCATACTTAACTTTCAATCTCCCCTACCATAAAACATGCCCACACATCTTCTTTTGAACTTAGGGCACAGAAGCACATAATAAATTCAAGAGGTAAAGGTAAATGTGGGTAACATATTAATATCTCCTTTTCCATATACAATTAACACTTTCTACTAAAGAAAATCTTACCTAATCTGTTCAGTCTGTACAATCCCTTCTTTGTGACCCTCCAAACGAGCAGCCAATCTCTCTTTATCAAGGCGCACACACTCTTCATCCTGAAAATAAGCACTGGTTAGTGAATATTGCACATTTTTATTTAACTTGTAGAGCAACAACAAAAAAAACATGTAACTTTTCCTTACGTAAGTTCCTGCCTATAACATGCCAAGCATTGCTGGCCTTAAGTCAGCTTGATTTTAAGATTACTTCTAGTTACACAAAGACAACAATAATAAATACATGTTGGATCACATAAGAGTAGAACTGATTAAAAGCTTACCAAAGAGCTTCAGCAACTTTTTTCTATGATTAAACGTTCTTCCCATAATGTATCATATCTATTTTTATTCATACAGTTATTATACCACTAATAAATTCCTTCTCTTCAGGAAAATTTATCACTAAATTTTATGAAAAGCCTTCACCACAGTCAAAAATTTCATTTTGGAGATAGTTTTTTGCACCTGTTGCCCCAGGTCCTGAATCCATCAGGATTTCTGATGACCAGAAGTGAAACTTGAATGTTTTCAAAGCATGTTCCTTAGAACATTAGGCATTTCCTACAAAGTGCCTCATGGGCCACTGTTCCGAGTTCAACCCTGGTAGCTCAGCTTTTCTCTAACCCGCATGTTAGAATTTCAAATAAAATTCAGTCTGAAAAGTGTTTGGTTAAAAACAAAACTTGATCTAGTTCAATGCCCACATTCAACAAATGAGAAAACTAAGGAACAGGGTTAGTGTCTATGGCTAACAAAATATGATATTGTATAAAAAGCAGTATATTCAATGTGCTCCATCCAATTCATGCTCTAATATTAACCTATCATTTATTTATTTTTTTTCAAAGATTTTATTTATTTGACACAGAGAGCGAGAGAGAGACAGGGAGAGAGCACAAGCAGGGGGAGCGGCAGGCAGAGGGAGATGCAGGCTTCCTGCATGAGCAGGGAGCCCGATGTGGGGCTCGATCCCAGGACCCTGGGATCATGACCTGAGCTGAAGGCAGTGGTTTAACCAACTGAGCCACCCAGGCGCGCTTAACCTATCATTTAAAAAAACATTTTAACCTATCATTTAAAAAAACATTTTGCTGACATGAAGGCAAAGGTAGTATTGAAGCAAACTGCATTAAATTTTAGCCATTTGTAATGAAGGTATAACACAAATTACTCAAGTTCCTTAGGAAACTACTGATTTTAAAGACAACTGCAGCCTAAATTTTAATCAGATTAGATCAGAATCTCTGCCCTCAAGGTTTCTCTTCTAGCACAGTGCCTTGCAGGTTCCCAATATATATACGCTGAACTGAAAACTGTTTATGTAACATAGCTGTTTATGTAAAGCATTTTAACTCTATAAATACTCTGCAAAGCATTTTATTATATTTCTTGCTGATGTTTCAAGTTAATGGTATCCTAGCAAATTAGCATTTTTGTCATGTTTGATTTATTTCAAATCATCAAACTGTAAATTCAGATTTTTCCAAATAAGTAGTGTGTCTAAATTCACTCATTTTGTTCACATTGGGTCACAACCTTCTTTCATACAGATAGAGCTGGTGAAAACTTCCGTTTTACTGCTACAAAATTTGTAGTCAGTATATATAGTAGAATGGCTAGAAGCCAGATAGTCTGGGTTCCAATCCTGGTTCTGTGAACATCAACAAGTAACTTACTCTCTCTGAGGGGTTTGTTTGCTCATCTATGACATGCACAGTACCGCCAACTTCAGAGGGTTGTGGTTGAGGATTACATGAGTTAATATACATAAAGTATACAAAAGTAACCCAGAACAGAGGAGAAACAATGAGGTAATTATCATTATGATCATTAACTAAAAAACATCAAGTCCATGTCTCAGAGTATGCTTAATTAAAATTGTTTTATAATTAATTAAAATAAAATTGTACTGTTTTAGCATCAAATTCTGTCAATGGTTATATAGAACATACTTACCGATACCGTCCCTTTAACATCTACCATTTATCCTTAACTACATATGCTTTGCTGTTTCTGTAGCACGCAAAAGGTACAACTATTTGATTTTTATACAAGTGTGAAAGGAAAAGATTTATGGTTTCCAGTAATACTAACATTAGTGATGACTACAAGTGTTATTTCTATATTATTAATTGATACATGGACCAGTTCAGTCATTTCTTAGATGTTAAGTTGTACCTCTAGTACATAATCTTCCACTGTCTTTATATGTAATTGATCTGGGGCTTGTTAAAAATTTTAAATAAATAGCTAATTTCTAAGGCCTAACTTTCTTATGCAGTACTCTAGCTGTTGAACGATTTTTCTTTCTAAAGGTAACTGCATTTCTTATACAGCTTCTATTTCATGTGAACTATCCTTATTTACCAATATTAGTATTCCACTTGCTGGCTATAAAACACTACAAAAAACATGCAACCTAATACACCAGTATTTTTTTTAAGGATTTATTTTAGAAAGAAGGGGCACACGCAAGGAGGGGGAGGAGCAGAGGGAGAAAATCGCAAGCAGACTCCAGCTGAGTGCACGACCCTGAGATCATGACCTGAGTTGAAACCAAGAGGAGGATGTTCCAACTGACTGAGCCATCCAGGTACCCCCTAATATACACCAGTATTTTAAGAAATAACTGTAATAAGCACTTCATGTTCACAGTTCTTAAGAGTGAAGCAAATTCTCACACCATCTTATTCCAGGGTAGGCAAACTACAACTGAAGGGCAGGCTCACCATCTGTGTTATAAAATTTTATTGGAATACAGCCTTGTCAGTTTACTTATGTATTGCCTCTTCCTGCTTCCGCACTATAACAGCAGGGTGGAATAGTTGGACAGACACTAAACGGCTCAAAAAGCCTAAAATATTTACTATATGATCACTTACAGAAGAAGTTTTCCAACTCCTGACCTAGCCCAACACTTTCATTAATAAGGATATAAAAGAAAAGAAAATGATTTGTCCAACACACAGCTTATGTAAGAGATCTCAAACTATAGCTCAAGCTACTATTAATCAAACATTCATTATACTACAACAATTTTTCCAGAAAAAACCTCCTAGGACAACTATGAAAAAGAATTCTTATTCATATACAAACCCAATTTTGTAATACTACAATTCACATTTAAAATAAAGTCCCATTACCTCAATGCGTGGTTTCTTTGCTTCTGCTAAAACTTCATCTGCAGCTCGTTTCACTTTTAAGAAAAGAAAAGTAAGTAAGTACATAGTTCTGGAGTAAGTTTTTGAAAGTTCAATATAAATATGTGACAAAACGTACCTTGGGTAGATCGCTGAAGACCTATTTCTAGAGGGGCACTTCTGTCTATGCTTGCTGATGTTGCTGAAGGGTTAAAAAGATTTACGTGAGAAGATCAATATTTGAACACACACACTTGACATTATTACAAGTGAAATGCTCAATATTTGTTATTTCTTACTTTATATACAGTGATTTCCACGGGAAAAAAGTTTTAAAGTAGTTTTATAAAAACATTATAGAAGATTAATCTGTATTTAAAAGTCTGTAAAAGGACAAATATCTTTAATAATTTAGCTTACAAATTATTGTTAGAATCTGACTGAAATCAACTGGTCACTTCAAAGAACATATACTCTGATGTTAATTACCACACATGCACATAAAATGTATCTGAACATAAATACATAAAGATATGTATAAAGGAAAAGGCTTTAAGTTAGCATTCACCTTAAAAAATGCAATTTTTAGTTATTCACAGTTGGTAAAAAATATTTTTTAAATTAAATCATTTAATTTTTGAATGGTTCAAAATAATGAAACTAACAAAAGGATGTACCAGTCCCCATCCACCTGGTTCTCACCACCCTACATAACTATTTGACAGTCTCATGTATTTTTCTAGTTTCTTTCTGTAGTTACAAGAAATACAAAGTTATGCTTTTATTTTTCCCCTTTTTTAACAAAAAAGGTAGCATACTATACACACTGTCCTGAACCTTTCTTTTTTGACCTAACAATAGAGCTCCAACATATCAGTATGTGGAGCATTCTTTAACTTTCTTTTTAAATCTACATAGTATTTAATGTATGGGTTAACTGCAATTTATTTAACTAGTTTCCTATCTACCCACGGGCAGTTCAATTCTAACAGGTTTTTGCCACTACAAACAATGACACATTGTTCATTCATTTTCAAATATACCTCTAGAATAAAGTCCCAGATGTAGGATTTCTGGGTTGATTTTGTAGTAACAGATACTACCAAATGTCTTCAGCGGGAGTTGTATCAATTGACACTACAACTAAAAATATATTAGGGTATCGGTTTCCTCAGAGACTCAAAAGTGTATTATTAAACTGATAAATTTTTGTCAATGAGGTAAAAAAAAAAATGCTATCTCTGTACAGTTTCAATTTATAATTCTGAGTGAAATAAACATTTTTCGTATGATTTCATCACCTTTTCTTTGAATTTTACGACTAAAATCTATTGGGTTGTTGGTCTTTTATGCATGTATTTCTAGGACCACTTCATATTATCAGTAAGACTGATCCTTTCACTGTGATGAGTTGAAGTATTTTTTCCCAACTTGTCAGGTCTTTTTTTTTAATAATACAGAACTTTTTAATTTTTACCAACCTATTACTTGAATAATCCTATCTTTCCCCCACTGATTTGACCTATCTTTTTAGTTGTGTCAAATTCACATAATTTAATATTTAACAGATAAAACACTGTTCTATCAGTTTATTCACATTTTTTAAATTATTAGGGCTTTATAATAAGTTCTGAACTCTAGAATAGTATTTTCTCATTGCTCTTCTCCAAACTTTTATGACACTTACTTTTACCAAATGGATTCTGGAATCATCATGTCTATTCCACCCTTCCCTCAAGAAAAACTATAGAGATTTTTATTGGGATTATGTTAAATATATAATCTATGTTATGAACTGACATCTTTAAGCTGTTATGTCTTCTTGTCTAAGAACATGGAATGTCTTAAGATTTCCTCAACTTGTTCATTAAACCATTAATTCAACAATTTGTTTTAAAAATAGCAAAGGAGGGGCACCTGGGTGGCTCAGTCGGTTAAGCGTCTGCCTTCGACTTGGGTCATGATCCCAGAGTCCTGGGATAGAGCCCCACATCAGGCTCCCTGCAGGGAGCCTGCTTCTCCTTCTTCCTCTGCCATCCCATCTCCCCCACTTGTGCTCTCTGGCTCTTTCGGTCAAATAAATAAAAATAAATCTTTAAAAAAATAAAATAAAATTGGTCATATACAAAATCAAGTCATATACTTGATGACTAAATTTTTTTGTCTTAAAGAAACTACAGATAATGACATGGATGAGTAAAGGGGAACTTTTTTCTGGATTCTGAAGAGAAAAACCATTTATTTGCCCTAAAGTACTCTCCCCCACTAACCAGCCTATTTATCAAGCTTACCTGAGACACTTTTTTAAAAAAAGAGAATCCTAGACTCTATACCAGATCTTCTGAAGCAAAAAAAATCTAACAAGTGCACCATATGGTTTAAAAAAAAAAAAGCCTTTGCCTATCCTCCTCAACTCCATCCCCCCCACAGCAGAATTAGAATCCCGCCTCAATCCTCTCCCCGGATTTTAACCCTTATTTTATCAGTCTATCTTTCAAGATGGTAAGCATGTTCAGGACACGAATTTTGCATTTTGTATAGCACTGAGTACAATGCCTTTAAGAATAACCATTCAAGGGGCGCCTGGGTGGCTCAGTCGGTTGATCGTCCGAATCTCAATTTCAGCTCAGGTCATGATCGCAGGGTCGTGAGATGGAGTCCCACTTTGGGCTAGGCAATCAGGGAGGAGTCTGCTTGAGATTCTCTTTCCCTTTCCCTCTGCCCCTCCCTACCACTCGTGCACAGGCGCCCGCTTTCTCTCTCTCAAATAAATAAATAAAAAAAAAAGAATAACCACTCATAAGAGCTTGCTGAATGTTCAGTGAGGACAGTACAGAAAGACAAGACTCTTGATGATGGTCTTTCCTTTATGCAAGAGACTGTGCAAATCAATCTTACTGTTAAAGCCGTGGAGCACAATATGTGATGAGACAGCTATTAATGACTTAAAGGTAGTAAACTCCACCCAAGGAAGGTTAGGACCAATCAGTCTTATACTGATTTATTCATATTATTCTAAGATTATATCCATTTATTCATACTCATCAATTTACATTATAGATCAATTTATTATACCTCTTTATATTCATATTCTTTTAAGACAGCAAGTTAATGATTACTCATTTATACAGGTAAGCACCCACTATTAACCACTGTTCTAAAATGCTGGGTATTTAACAACTGTCTGCCCTCTTACAGTTTATCCTCTAGTGGGGCAGACAATATATAAGTAAACAAATATGTAATTTCAAGTCAATGTAAGGGATTTGATGAAAAATAAATCAGGAAGATGCTATACATACATGGGCATATGTGGGAAAACACTGCTATCCTGTATTTTAGAATGGTAAGTTTTTTCTGACAGAAGATTTAAGCACAGATGTGAATGAGGTGGTAAGAAAAAAGACGTGACAATGTAGAGAAACAGAACTGAACATAGAGAAAACAGCAAGTACAAAGGCTTGAAAAGTTAGGATAGTTTATTAAAAGAACCAACAAGACTGGACTGTTGCGAGCAAAGGAAGGCTGCAAGAAGATGAGGCCACAGAGATTTAGGCAGAAGCAAGATCACGTAGGTCAGGATAGGATAAGGAGTGTGGGCTTTATTCTAAGTACGACAGGAAGCCACAGGATGGGCTTGAGCAGGTAAGTGACACAATCAAGTTTATATGCGTTTTCAAAAACAGGTCACTCTAATGGGTAAGCAAAGACTGTAAGAGGTATTATAGAGTGGGGACCTTAAGAAAGCTATGCAAGTCTAAAGGGGAAGAATGGAACAGGGTGGGAGTGGAATGGTTAAGAAACTGTTATACTTTTAAAGTTAAAGAAAAGGACTTGTTCATGAAATTGATCAAAGTAATCAAAGATTTTTTCCAGGGTTTTTGGCCTTAACAACTCCATGAAGGGGAAAGCATTTACTGTGATGGAAATACTGGGAGACCAGACCTGTTATTTTAGTTTTGTTTAAGGGGTGAAGAGAAGGAGGGAATCAGCATTCTATTTCAGATATGTTGAATTTCACATACCTATTATATATCCAAGGAAAGAGGTGGACAGTGGATTTACAACTTGAGCTTAGGAATAGGTCAGTGCTGAAGATAAGTAAGCAAAATAAAATAAGAGATGGACAATGAATAGAAAGAGAATCAAGAGTGTGGTGCCCTAGATGCCAAGTGAAGAAAGGCTTTCCAAAAGGGAGTAATCAACAGTGTTGATTATATATCAATTCCTTTAGTTGGAATTGATAACCCCTAAGGAATTGATAACCCCTAAGTCAATGTAGACCTTACAACAGTAATTTTAGTGAGATGGTGAGTAGGAAAGTCAGATTAGAGTGGGGGATTCAAGAAGTAGGCAGTGATATCATACAACTGTTAACAAAGAATTTTGCAATAAAAAGGAGAAGACAAATTTGACAGTAGATACTAGGAATGTGGGGTCAAAAAACTGTTTTTAAATGAGAGATCTTACAGTATGCATTTTAAAGGGAATGCAGAGAAAAGAAGAAAGATGATGATGTAAAAGGGAAGCCAACAATTCACAAAGGCAAAGTCTTTCAGAGTGTGAAAGGAAATGGAATCTATAGACAAAGAAGTGGTGACTGGCCTTAGGAGCGAAAATACTGCATTCACAACAGAAAAGAATGGACAGTATATGCACACATATGTTGCTGGTACGTTAATTTTTTAGTGAAAATACAAATTCTCTTTCCATTGCTTCTCATTTCACAGGGGAAGGAAAGAAACAATGGCTATTTAAGAGTGAGAGCAAGTTAAAAATTACTCACATGCTTCACCATTGAGATATCCAAGTAGATCTTTTCGGTCAGGTCTTCTAACCACAGGAATATTTTCAGTCTGAAGTCAAAATTTTAAATTAGTTATCAAAACAATTATAAGAAACATAATAAAGACAAACATTATGTAATGTATGAATTTCACTCCAACGTATCTCAGTAACATTTACTTAGGATCTTATCTTTCCGGAACTAGGCTAAAAAACCCAATAAAAGTCTTGAAAAATTTTAAGAATATTAACTTTAATAATTCATTCTTGAAATTCAAGTATATATAAAAAAAAACCATTAGAAATGAAACAATGATCCATCCCTCTTCAAAATATCAATTCCAATCTTTTTTGTTCCCTTGGCTTACCTTAAGTATTTTATTTTACTCATGACATTTCGCATGCTTTAGGCAATTATCTTTTTAGTCCTATTGCCTGCTCATTTTACACATTCCCAAGTGCCTTTTTGCCTCAAACACAAAACAGAATTCCTCAAAATATTCTACTTGAACTCCAAAATACACTAACTACCTAAGTTTTCATAATTAACAATAGGTATGTGTTATTCAAGCATGGGAAAAAACTTAGGAGATTATATAGGAAACCATTAATGGCGGTTGTTTACTTTCCACATTACACATTTGTTTCTTACCCCTGAGTGTATACAAATTCTGTAAGGAAGGGGAAAAGATTAAAAAATTAAACCTGGATAGTGCATCTATTTTGGTAAAATGGATATTTTCCTTTAATCTCCTACATTAGCAGTTTGTAAAGAGGTATGCAAAACAAAACTGTATACTTTAGTCACCAAGTCATCTTCGGGCCATGAATTCAATGAATCCTGTAATTACCACAATTTTCCTATCATTTTTATAATATCAACAACAACTGAGTACACGAATGACTGGTGGCTGCAAGATTATAAATTAAAATCCCTTTGTCACTTTATATAAGCAAAAATGAAGTAACAAGAATCCTTTGGCTAATTATCTTATACTGACTACTGCACCATTCTGCACACAGTCCTTGATGATAGAAATAAACTATACTTAATCACTTAAAATTAACTTTTTTTTAAAGGGCAGGCTAAATTTTAATTTCTGCTGGGAATATAAACATTTAAGACCCTACAGGTTTTTGTGCGCTTGTTTTTAAAAGTTAGTCTACATGGAGTATATCATAAATAGTTAAAAGATTTTAATTTTCTTTTTTTTTTTAATTTTTTTAAGTTTTGTTTTTGTTTTTTTGACAGAGACAGACACAGCGAGAAAGGTAACACAAGCAGGGGGAGTGGGAGAGGGAAAAGCAGGCTTCCCGCTGAGCAGGAAGCCCGATGTGGTGCTAGATCCCAGGACCCCAGGATCATGACCTGAGCCGAAGGCAGATGCTTAACGACGGAGCCACCCAGGCACCCAAGTTAATTTTCTTTAAATTACTATTTCTAAGTCTGATAACACTCTTCATCATTTGGTTACTAATGTATTATGGACATAATACAGCCAACTGAGAAAGATACAAGTCAACTCACTAAAATAGTAGCTATAGCTCAAGAAAAAGTATTTCAGAAATGGTCTGCTCACAAGAAAGAGCAAATAACACAAAAGAGGAAAAAACAAAATTTGTAGAACCCTAGAATTATAGAATTCTGCCCTTTCAATCTGTGAAGTATTTAAGAAAAACAAAAGATTTAAATCTTATGTGAAGAAAGGTAACTATTACAGCCATCAGTTACATGCTACCACCATTTCCCAATAATATAATTTCTAAATCTAAACCAAGTGGATGGATCATCTTTATTACCACAAAATGAATGATGTAGCCAACAAAAGATTCTAATTACTGCCTAATTCAGTTTTTATTTTTTTTAAAGTTTTTATTTATTTGAGAGAGAATGAGATAGAGAGAGAGCATGAGGGGGGGGAGGGTCAGAGGGAGAAGCAGACTCCCTGCTGAGCAGGGAGCCCGATGCAGGACTCGATCCCAGGACTCCAGGATCACAACCTGAGCCAAAGGGAGTCGCTTAACCAACTGAGGCACCCAGGCACCCCTGCCTAACTCTAAAAAAGTTTTTAAAGATTTAAGACGAGGTAACATAAGTTTATAGAAACACCGTTATTTTTATCCCACTATTTCTCAAATCCCAAGTAGTTTCACCTTATATATTACTTCTTCTATATGGATTAGATGCTGAATATTTATTTCATATTCACAAATGCAGTGTTCAAATACTGACATGCTGAAGGCAGGCAAAACTGAAAACAAATGAGTTTGTCAATAAAGTATTAAAAATGTTTACTGTACTATTTAAAAGTTGAATTTTTTTTAAGTTGTCTGTTAATCTTGATTCTTTTTGATGCCCCCCAAAAAGTCTTGAGATTAAACTAGAGTTCTGAATATCAGGGTCCTTCCACAGGCTTATGAATTTCTTAAAACTTTCCTACAAATGCCTTCAAAACTTCTGTTCTTGTAAACAGTGCCCATGTTTTACCTGAAAGTCATAGATTTAAAAATCTGCATTAAATCATTAAATCACAGTGATCTAATTTTGACCCTCCAGTAGACCTTCATAATGACAAACCTTTTACTCTTGATTTGAAACCCATGAGGGAAGTGATCCATGCCAAATGATGTTGTCCGCACTGTGGATGGGGACTCTACTGAGTCCTGAAGAGGTCCCTCTTTGATCGCCAAACGTGCTGAAATAAACTTCTCAGACACCAATCTGAGCGGCCCTGCAGGGCTGTTCTCCCTTGCAGAAGACTGGTGTCTGAGAACTTTATTTCAGTGCACAATGACAAAATGATACCTACCATCCAAAAAAAAAAAAAAAATCAAAAAAGTTTTAAAATGAATTGTACTTACAGCTGCCCGTCGGACATAAACAGGATGAGAAAGGTGTACATTATTAAGTAGAAACAAGATAGAATCCAATGTGTAGTATTCTCTGGGTTGGCCTTCTTTTCCAGTCCTGAAATAATTAAGACAAGATTTTTATTCAATTTTAATTCAACTCCTTGGACTTAATTATATGTATGAATTTATCTATACTTACTTTGCTACCCAACAATGGATTTAACATGACTAACAAAAATACCCATGAAGTATGAAATTTAGTAAGTGGAACTGTCATTAAAGCAACAGAACACAAAGGTAGACAATGACAAAAAGCAAGAAGGAAGGCATACCATATTCATCCTCTAAGGTACACCTCTCCATTTTTTAGAATTTGGCCCAAATTTGGTTCTAGTCTTTGTCAATAGAGAGAGAAATCTAATCATTTACAGATTGGAGAGGATCCACAAGAGAAAACAAACTGACTAGGAGAAGCACAACTACTGCCAGTGCTAAACTTAGAAGAAATTTATCCTATGTCTCCTAAGTAAGATACTGCTAAACACCATCCTTAACAACATTCTTACAGTAAACACAACAATGAATTTCAGAGGTATAATTCTTATGACATCCCTCAAATTAAACAAATGATGTAAAACCATACTGAATTCTACCTGTGATAAAACAATGCAGTTTAGAGGTGCAGGCTCTTTAATGAAAGCACATAATACTATTTGCTCAACAATATTAGTGTCCAATCTCACCCTTCCTACTACATTATCCTCACCTAAAAATGTCAATGTATTAAATTCATCTGAATACAGCCCAAAGTAATCAGCCCCAACCTACATTTCTCTAGCCTGCATTTCCACTTTTCCTCTAAATTGACATATTTCAAATCATATATCACTACCAATTTTTGTACTATGAAATGGGATATACAGGTAACCAGGTTTTTTAAACGATATAAAAAAGCAAAGTAACACAACGTACAGCAGGCAATAAGGATAACTATTGTTTACAGTTACAAAGCTGGACATATGTACACATGCAGAAAGATGAATAAATGAAATGAAAATGTATTTATTAGTGTAATTCACTGTTGTTAAAGTTGAAGTCGATCCTAAGCAGTCCCTTTTCACTACCAGCTTCACTGAACTATCAAAACATTTCCCTTCCAGCTCTCATGCCCTTAAGCATGTCCTTTAAGACCTAACCCATCATGTCACCCTCAAGTTCTTCACCCATTCTTTAAAGCTTACTCAGTTGTTCAAGAAAAATTTGTAGCACATCTACATCCCAAACACACTTCTATGAAACCTTTTCTAATACCCCAAGCTAGAAGTGATTACTCTCTTAAGGGCCAGAATGCAATTCTTACCAAGTAATCTGTTTTATCTCATCTACTCTGATTAAGTTAACCTCCTTTGAGTCAGGAACCAAGATGCTAAGAAATTTTTCTCTTTCTCAGACTGAACCACCCTACACTGTGACTACTCTTTAACCATTTTTTAAAGAAAAAAACAAATCAGTTAAAATTCCAATCAAATACAACTGTGTCTGTGCAAATTCTTCTGGGTGAAAGAACAAAATCCAGGAAACTCAGAATGATGTCACTGCATCAACATTTCATAAAGCTAATCAAATCATAAGCCCTCAAGGCCAAAAAACTAGAAACCAACAAACTAAATCTTCCCTAGCTTTCCATCACAAAGCCTGGTGCTCCCACTCAAATGAGTATGGAAGTTCTGGCCCAAAGTTCTAATTATCCAAATGAAATACCAATGACAGAAACATCACTAAAAAGGCCCCAAACGATTACAGGACCTATTTCTAGATATTTTCCTTAATGACTTCAATTCAGAAAACCCCGCATAGATCAACGTTCCAAAACATTCCTCTTTAAAACACATTTCCTAAAATCACCCACCACCATCAGTATCTTACTTAGATCTGCAGAGCTCACCCCATTTCACCAGTAACTTTCTCCCTGAGGATGCCTCCCCCTCTAACACGGGTTTTGAGGACTCTTCCAAAGTGACCAAATCTTTTTCCCGTTCTAACTTCACAGAGTCGGTTCCCTTCTCTCTTCTTGAGGGAATTACGAAGGGAAAAGAAACAGACAAGGGCTGCGAGGGGCAGCAGGGATAGTGAACACATGGTAGCCTCGAAGCGAAAGAAAAAACTGAAGAACACAAAAAGACGTCTCCAGGACCGGACGGTGTGCCCTCTTCTGCACCTACACACACTAACACTCGACACATACCGGCAAAAATGAACTAGAAAAGTCCAGAAACTCCCTTGGTACCTTTCCCTTTGGCGTCCCAAAAGACTTAAGGAAAATGGACCACTCCGGACGCACCTCCTATTCCCTCCTCACCTAAAAGTGTAACTTCTTTTCTAGAGGAAAACTTTTACCCAGAGACCCGTTTTTTTTTCTCCATCCCCAAAGGGAATCGGGGGGAGGGGTTAGGAAAGAGGTCGCCTGGGGGCGCCCAACTCTGCCCGGCCATCCCCAGGCCACAGCCACGCCGGACTTACCCCCAAACTACATAGTTGGTCTTCACATTCTTGGGCCAGGAGAACTCGCCGAAGATCACTTCGTCTCCCTTCACCACGATCTCCTTCTTCTGGATGTTGTACTGTCGCAGGACGCTGAGCACGTCCGCCATCTTCCCCCCCCCTCGCCGCCGCCGCCCGCCCCGGGCGAAGCCGCCGCCGCCGCGCCTGCCTCCTTCTTCCCCTGTCGCCTCGCCCTCTTCCTCCTCCTCCTCCGCCGCCGCCGCCGCCGCCGCGAACCAACAGCAGCCGCACTAGCAGCCGTCCTCGCCTACGACAGCAGCTGGGGCAGTAGACACCCAGGCCGCCGAGGACCCCGCGCTAGAAGGCAAGGCCCCGCCGCCGGCTGCCCGCGGAGAACGCCTGACTGCGCGCCTCCAGCGCTGCACGGCCACCACCAGGGGGAGCCGCGACCGCCCAGGAACACGCCCCTCCCAGACTTCCGCTCGGCACGGGGCCGACTGTCGGCCCGAAACTCCGAGCGCAGGGACACCGCGCCCACGTACGGCGCACGTACGGGGAATATTGCCTGGCGCACGCGCACGGACACGTACCTCCCTCCCTCGCAGCGCGCACGCGGCTAGCGACAGGTGCGCGCGCACCTGCAAGGAAGCCGCTTGCTTGCGTCCCTTGAACACGCACCGAGTGACCGCCGACCCGCTTTGCGGACAAAGGCTTTCGGCTCGTTCCTTTGGAAGGAACTGAGTTTGGCAGATTTGCAAAACACTCGGATTACCTTACCAACTAAATGGGACCCATTAAATGGCCTCTCAGTCTTAGTGATCTTATTAAAACCGTTTAGAAGGGTGCGGTTTGGGGGCGGATTAGTTTGGGGGTGTTTTGTTTTGTTTTGTTTTTAGTGTATTCACATAGTGGTAATGACCTAGCCCGGAGGAGATCAATCCCGGATACCTATATTTGTTAGCTGTTGTTTGACCTTGGCTACGATACATACCTTCTCAAAGCATTAATTGGTTACTGGAGAAAAGGAGTTAGTATGAGAATAAGATGAAAGAAAGCATCTAGCAAATCATCAAAATATCGTAAATGTTGGATCTTCCACTTCAATTCCTTAGAGGATGACTTTTTCCATCCTGGCCACTTCTCCCTGCCAGCCCCAAAGAGGTAGGTTTAAATGGCCCTGTTCAAAGATGCTAATGAAAAAGTTAGAAAACACAAACTCCAAACTGTCAGGATTAGAACACTTTAGGATTACTTGATTCTTTATTGGCACTCAGAAGGCTAAAGGGTGTCCTTGCCATGCTGGAAACAATGATATAAATACAATATACTGTGGCCTGCATACCTTAAAACAATCACCCCGTGGGGCCCATAATTTTTTTATTCCTTGTACTGTAGCAGAAAGGAGGGAGTGGGAAGGCAACTTCTGTATTGATATAACCAAATACCTTGACCTGCTTCAAAAGGGATCCATTTTTATCATGTGCAATACAGAGGGATATAAAAGTGTGTGATTCGCTTCCTATTCTAACTATGGCCATTTTGCAAATTAATTTGAGAAATTTTGTCTGTTGTGCAAATGCACCCATCCCTGTGGTATTTTCCTGGGTCTCACTGCAAAAACATACTACAAAGAACTTACTACTCTCTAATCTCCCACACTCTCTAATCATACTTGTATCAGAGCACCCACTATTACTTGACAGCCGTTATTTACTTGCCTGCCTCTTCCTGCAAAACTGAAGGGCAATAGACCTGTGTCATCATATCCTAGTGTCTAGCACATGATTTGGCACATTATTGGCTCCTAGAAAATGTTAAATTAATAAATGGATAGATGAGTTCAACAAACTCAAGATTTGATGAGTAGATTAGGAGAATCAACAGTAGTTCCCTCAAATGATACTTAATTTTATTTCATACACAAACAATGACTTAGTCCATTCAGGCTGCTATAAGAGAATGCCATAGACTGGAGGGGCTTATGAATAACAGAGATTTCTTTCTCATAGTTCTAGAGGCTAGGAAATCCAAGGTCAGGATGCCAGCAGAGTCATTGTCTGGTGAGAGGCTGCTTTCTGGTTCATAGACCTCAGTCTTCACATTGTATACTCACATGGTGGAAGGAAAAAGGGAGTGACCACAAACATTCAGTCTATAGCAATGACCAGACAGTCTCTTTTAGGATAAATTGTGAGTTTGAGGGTAGTGATTTTTAAACTCAATGTAATGAGATATGACATTAGTAATTTGTTGCTTATAACAGTTAAAGAAATGTGTAGAGCATTTTTTGTGTTTAAATCCCATGCAAATACTACTAGTATTAGTTCAGTGATGTTCATTCCAAAATACAATGAAAGGCAAGATTAGTCCTAAAGCTGAACGCAGACAATTAACCAGAAAAAAATTGGAAAACTAGTCTTGTTTCTTTGTCTTGGGTGAAAGCTGTCCACTTCTCCAGTCACCAGCTTCCAAAGAATTCCTAACAAGTCTCAGTTTGAATTCTCCTATAGAATAAATGTCTAGCAATCAGGAGAAAGTGGTACATCTTTTTATTCTTTTTTAAGATTTTATTTATTTGAGAGAGAAAGAGCACAAGTGGGGAGGAGGGACAGAGGGAGAAGGAGAAGCAGGCTGAATTTTTTCAAAAGTAAAGAGGAACCTCTTCAAAACTGTTTAAGAATATGTGATAAAGCACTAAGAATTAACAAATACTTTGGTGACAAAGGGAACATCTACTAATTTGGGCACAGAATAACTGAATCTTCTTACAGAAAAAAAACACCCATATTCTAACTTTACTCTTTTTGTACATTATTTGCATAACTATTGTCAATATAAGATTCCTAAATATACCTTGATATATGTGTGTATTTAGGCACAAATGAATATATATAGAAATAATTAACACATGTGAAGTTTTTAAAAATATTTCATTTATTCATTTGAGAGAGAGAGAGGAAGAGAGCCAGCGAGGGGAGGAGCAGAGGGAGAGGGACAGAGCCTGATGTGGGTGGGGCTTGATCCCACAGCCCTGAGATCATGACCTGAGCTGAAATCAAGAGTTGGACACTTAACCAACAGAGCCACCAAGGTGCACTGATATTTGAAGTTTTTAACAATAGCCTTAAAATATGTATATTAATATAGTATACATGTGTATATGTGTTTATTTATTTAAATATATATATTTATCTCAAAGAAAAATGGAAAAAGAAAAGTTTCAAAACCAGAGTGTGTTGCCCTGTTAAGAAAGTCTAATGTGCATTCTAAGTATCGGAAAGCAGACATTTTCCCCAAAGGACGATGGTCACTAGGACATATGGATTGTAATTATAAAACAAAGTTTGGCGAGTGGAAGCCAGCAGAGAGAGGGGCACTGGCAGGGACACAGAACAATCAGCAGGTGCTTTGGGAGTAAGGCTCTAGGAGATGAAGGACACTGGCCCCAGTTCTGGGGTGGATGTCTGGCCAACCATCTGGGCTCCAAGGGGGAAAGCACACACCTGGCAGGATTCAAGAAGAGGGCCTCGTGAGGCCTCCAAACAAGCCTCTAGCTCGTACTTCCAGTGGATATGCTTTCTAAATATATTTTTTTTAAGATTTTATTTATTTATTTGATGGAGACAATGAGAGAGGGAACACAAGCAGGCAGAGTGGGCGAGGGAGAAGCAGGCTTCCCGCCGAGCAAGGAGCCCGATGAGGGGCTCGATCCCAGGACCCTGGGATCATGACCTGAGCCGAAGGCAGACGCTTAACAACTGAGCCACCCAGGTGCCCCCAGTGGATATGCTTTCTGACTCCACACAATCTCAGGATTTGCTTTCTGACGTGTAGTAACAATACAGGAAATCTAAGACAATAGTGCCTATGATGGGCAAAATCCGGTGTGACCAGCAACATTTGCATGTGGCATCTTTGGAAGGGTCCCTGCTATTACCTTCAGGTTTAAGGTCATTCGGATGCACACCACCAATATAGTACTGCTTTAGCATTTCTCTGGCATCAGAGGAGTGGCCTACATCTTCAAAGCTTTCACTTGCACCTGCAATAGCTTGTTCCAGCAGCACCTCTTCTCCCCCAGGATGTCTGACCAATAGATTGTGGCAGAAGTGGTGCTGTGAAGGTTATGAAGTTCAGACCTCAAGAGGCCTTGAAGATGTATACATCATATTAAATTTAACGTCTTTGTGGGGGGAGACGAACCATGAGAGACGATGGACTCTGAAAAACAAACAGGGTTCTAGAGGGGAGGGGGGTGGGAGGATTGGTTAGCCTGGTGATGGGTATTAAAGAGGGCACGTTCTGCATGGAACATTGGGTGTTATGCACAAACAATGAATCATGGAACACTCCATCAAAAACTAATGATGTAGGGGAGGGGCTGGGGGGATGGGTTAGCCTGGTGATGGGTATTGAGGAGGGCACATTCTGCGTGGAGCACTGGGTGTTATGAACAAACAATGAATCATGGAACAGTACACCAAAACAAATTATGTAATATATGGTGATTAACATAACAATAAAAAATTAAAAAAACTAATGTAATGTATGGTGATTAACATAACAATAAAAAAATTTTAAAATTAACATCTTGATAAGCAGTAATACCTCCCCTTTTTAAAGATTTATTTGAGAGAGAGAGTGTGGGGGGGGGGTGTGAGCAAGCGGGGGCAGGGACAGAGGGAGACAGAATCCTGAAGTAGACTCCCTGCTGAGTAGGGAACCCAATGTGGGGCTCCATACCAGGACCCTGAGATCATGACCTGAGCCAAAATCAAGGTTGGCAGCTTAACCGACTGAGCCACCCAGGCATCAAAAGATTAGTTAGTTAACCATTTGTCTAAAGTCTTAAAATTAGGGATGCCTGGGTGGCTCAGTCAGTTAAGCATCTGCCTTCCACTCAGGTCACGGTCCCAGGGTCCTGGGATGGAGTCCTGCATCGGGCTCCCTGCTTGGTGGGGAGCCTGCTTCTCCCTCTGCCTGCAGCTTTCCCTGCTTGGGCTCACTCTCTCTCTCCCTGACAAATAAATAAGATCTTTAAAAAAATAAAGTCTTAAAATTATTTAAGGATCTGGAATTTACAATTTTAGCTAACATATTATATCCTTATTATTTGTAGTATTATAAAAATTTCATGAAATTTGGGCGCCTGGGTGGCTCAGTTGGTTAAGCAACTGCCTTCGGCTCAGGTCATGATCCTGGAGTCCCGGAATCAAGTCCCACATCGGGCTCCCTGCTCAGCGGGGAGTCGGCTTCTCCCTCAGACCCTCCCCCCTCTCATGCTCTCTCTCTCTATCTCATTCTCTCTCTCAAATAAGTAAAT